GCAAAAAAGCAAAAGTGATTGGTCATGAGAGCAACAGAACAGAATAAAAAGAACTTGAGAAGAGTTGAAGGAGAGAGAGATTTAGAGAGGATGGATCTGAAAGCCTTTATTGGATCTCTTGAGTTAGAAGCAGTGCGAGGAGACTTCAGCTGAATGATTCCAGATTGATCAGCAAGAACTGATCTCATTGGCTAAGAGTTCCAATGATAAGTGTTGTCCTTCAGTGCTACTTGCAGTTGAAGAGAGATGAAAGTTTTCATAAGAGCTTTTTGATCTCTGCTGACACCTGCCTTTAGAAGGTTTTTTTACAACTGCTGTGGTGTGTTGTTGAGGTAGCTTAACGAATGAGCCTTAACCTGTGTTGCTGTGAGCTAAATTTCATTTTTTTCTTTTTTAAATTTTATTCATTTATTTGATTTTAGTTTTCAACATTTGCTTCTGCAAGATTTTGAGTTTTAATTTTTCCCCATCCCTCCACTCCCCCTTCCCCAAGACAGCATGCAATCTGATATAGGCTATATGTGTACAATCATATTAAACATATTTCCACATTAATTAGAACTAAGGTGAAAAACCAGGAGAAAGAAAAGAGAGAGAGACAGACAGGGAGAGAGACACATAGAGAGACAGAGAGACAGAGAAAGACACAGAGAGAGAGAGACACATACACACACAGAGAGAATAGTATGCTTCAATTTGCATTCAGATTCCATAGTTCTTTCCCTGGATGTGGACTGCATTTTCCATCATGAGTCTTTTGGAATTGTCTTAGATTATTGTGATGCTGAGAAGAGATAAGTCTATCAAAGCTGGCCATCGCACAATGTTGCTATTACTGTGTACAATGTCCTTCTTGCTCTGCTCACTTCACTCAGCATCAGTTCATGTTAAGTCTTTCCAGGTTTTTTTCTGAAATTGGCCTGCTCATTACTTCTTATAGCACAATAGTATTCCATTACATTCATATAACACACTTGTTCAGCCATTCCCCAATTGATAGACATCCCTAATTTCAATTCTTGGCCACAACAAAAAAGAACTGCAATAAATATTTTTGTACATATACGTCCTTTTCCTGTTTTTATGATCTCTTTGGGATACAGACCAAGAAATGGAATTTCTGGGTCAAAGGGTATGCACAGTTTTATAGCCCTTTGGGCAGAGTTCCAAATTACTCTCCAGAATGATTGGATCAGTTCACAACTCCACCAACAATATATTAGTGTTCCAATTTTCCCACATCTACAACATTTGTCATTTTCCTGTTTTGTTATGTTAGCCAATCTGATATATGTGATAAGGTACCTCAGAGTTGTTTTAATTTGCATTTTTCCAATCTATAAGAATTTAGACCAATTTTTTCATATGACTATATATAGCTTTAATTTCTTCATCTGAAAACTGCCTGTTTATACCCTTTGACCATTTATCAATTGGGGAATGACTTGTATTCTTATAAATTTGACTCAGTTCTTTATATATTTTAGAAATTAGACCTTTATCAAAGACATTGGCTGTAAAAATTGTTTCCTAGTTTTCTGCTTCCCTTCTAATCTTGTTTGCATTGGTTTGTTGTGAAAAAAAAACTTTTTTTAATTTAATGTAATAATTTTGCATTTCACAATGTTCTCCATCTCTTGTTTGGTCATACATTCTTCCATTCTCTATAGATTTGACAGGTGAACTATTTCTTGCTCTCCCAATTTGCTTACAGTTTCACCTTTTATGTCTAAATCATGTACCCATTTTGATTTTATCTTGGGATACAGTGTAAGATGTTAATCTATACCTAATTTTGGTGATACTATTTTCCAGTTTTCTCAGCCATTTTTGCTAGATAATGAATTCTTATCTCAGAAGCTGGAGTCTTTTGGTTTATCAAACAGTAGATTATTATAGTCATTGACTACTATGTTTTGTGTACCTAACCTATTCCACTGATCCACCATTCTTTTTCTTAGCCAGTACCAAGTAGTTTTGATGACTGCTGCTTTGTAATCCAGTTTTAGATCTGGTAGAGCTAGGCCACCTTCTCTTGCATTTCTTTTCATTATTTCCCTAATTTTCTGGATCTTATATTCTTCGATGAATTTTGTTATCATTTTTTCTAGTTCTATAAAATAATTCTTTGATAGTTTGATTGGTATGGCACTGAATAACTACATTAATTTAGGTAGAATTGTCATTTTGTTATATTAGCTCAGCCTACCCATCAGCAACTGATTTTTTCAATTATTTAGATCTGACTTTATTTTGTATTTTGAAAAGTATTTTGTAATTGTGTTCATAGAGTTCCTGGGTTTGTCTTGGCAGGTATACTCCCAATTATTTTTACATTGTCTACAGTAACTTTAAATGGAATTTCTCTTTCTATCTCTTGCTGTTGGGCTTTGATAGTAATATATAGAAATGCCAATGATTTATGTGGGTTTATTTTATATCTACAACTTGGCTAAAGTTGTTAATTATTTGAAGTAGTTTTTTAGTTGTTTGTCTAGAATTCTCTAAGTATACCATCACATCATCTGCAAAGAGTGATAGCTTTCTTTCTTCATTGACTATTCAAATTCCTTCAATTTCTTTCTTACCTTCTTGCTAATGTTAACTTTTCTAGTACAATATTGAATAACAGTGGTGATAATTGGCATCCTTATTTAACCCCTGATCTTATTGGAAATGCTTCTAGCTTATCAGCATTACATATAATGCTTAGACAGATGTTACTTATCATTTTAAGGAAACTCCATTTATTCCTGTGCCCTCTAGTGTTTTTAATAGGAATGGGTGCTATATTTTGTCAAAAGCTTTTCTGCATTTATTGAGATAGTCATATGATTCCTGTTAATTTTATTACTGATATGGTCAATTGTGCTGATAATTTTCCTAATATTAAACCAGCCCTGCGTTTCCGGTATAAATCCCACCTGGTCATAGGGTATTATCCTGTGTGCTCCATTTTCAACGTACAGTGCAGCATCTAGATGAGTGAAGAATTGGCTGGCCTGAGCTGTATATTCTAGCAATTATAGAGCACTTTTCACATGAAGAGCTTACATTTTCTAAAATGGCCCTTTAAGGGTGATGGTTAATTGAAAGAATTTATAAAACATTCTCCTCCAAACAACTTTAAAATTCTAGAGAGTGAAGAGCTGGTTGAATTTTCCAGAACGGCAACCTGAGAAGCTCTGCAGTAATGTGCTTTAAAGGAAGCATTTGCCATTACAATAATGTAACACTTTCTGAAGGCCCTGTTAAGGATGACTATTAGTTAAAGGAGTTTGTTATTGCTTCATCAGTTTGAGAGCAAAAGAAGAGATGATTTGTCCGGAAGGAATTCACTTGTAGCTGAAGGGCAAGAGTTAGTATAGAAACAACTTTGGGTGATGCAGATTGTTCTTAAAAAGATCAAGGACATGACGTTCTACAGTTCATAGTTGTGAGTTTCCTTGAACATGTGAGATTTCTTCACTAATATGCCTGTCAATTAAATTGCTCTATTTTTAATGAAAAGGTTTTATTTTTCTAATTACATGTAAAAAATTAACATTCATTTTTTAAAAATTTTGAATTCTAAATTCTGTCCCTCCTTTCTTCCCTTCCCCCTTCATTGAGAAGGCAAGCAATTTGATACAGGTTATACATGTACAGTCATGCAAAAGATATTTCCATATTAGTCATGTTGTTAAAGGAAAAAAAAAGACAAGAAAAAGAAAACTTAAGAAAAGTAAATTTTAAAAAAGGATGCTTTGATCTGCATGCAGATTGTCAGTTCTTCCTCTGGAGGTGGATAGCATTTTTATTTTCTTAGATCATTATAACGCTGTGAATAAATGTCATTCACAGTTGATCATGGCACAATGTTGCTGTTGCTGTGTAAAATGTTTTCCTGGTTCTGCTCATTTCACTTTGCATCAGTCATGTATGTCTTTCCAGGTTTTTCTTAGAGCATCCTGCTCATCATTTCTTATACTACAATAATATCCCATCACAATCATATACCACAACTTGTTCAGCCATTCCCCAATTGATGGATATCCCCTCAATTTCCAATTCCTTGCCATCACAAAAAGAGCTGCTATCGATATTTTTATACATGTAGGTCCTTTTCCTTTTCTTTTTGTTTTGGCCAGAATATGGAATTTTGAATTGAGAATTGATAGGAATGATGAGTTGACCTATGGGACAATTGATTGACATTGCCCTTCAGAAAGTAATAATAGTATTGATTTTATTTCTGTGCCCAAAGCAGTGGGTGGAAAGGTATGGGTGAAGAGTCATACATAGCAGCAGGAATGAAATGACTGAATGGAATGTGTAGCATGGAATAGATGGGCATAATGAGCTAGGTGACTTTACACTAACTCACTTAAACCAGTGAAGATACTGTAGCTCTAGGAGAGGAGTTCAAAAGCTGAGTCAACACCCCAGTCGTTTTTCCATGTTTTCTGGCCCTCTAACTGGTGACTAGTCTTTCTAACTCCTGAAATTATCTTGTATTTACTTATCTTTTTCCATTATGGAACTGTTTCTCATTTCTGTTTTTGTATCTCTGGCACCCAGCACAGTACCTCATAATATACATTTTTGTTGTTGTTGTTGTTGAGTTGTTTCAGTTGCATCCTATTCTTCATGACCCTATTCTTGGTTTGCCATTACCTTCTCTGGATAATTTTACAGATGAGGAGCTGAGGCAAACAGGGTTAAGTGGCTTGCCCAGAGTCACATAGGTAGTAAGAGTCTGAGACCAGTTTCAATTTAGAAAGATGAGTCTTCCTGACTGCAAGCCTAGCACTCTATCCCTGAGCCACACATAGTGAGTGCTTATATGTGTGTATATATATATATATATATAGCTTTAAATTGATTGTACACAAACTATTAGAAAAATCTGCCTACTTGAAACATATCTGGTTATCTAACTCATTTACACTGTAATTAGGTTAACCTGCATGCTACACAGTGGACATACATATATAAATAATTATGTGTTTTAAATTTAGGTATGTTTCTTGTACCCTGGGATGCCCATATGAAGGACACATTGCACCTGAAAAAGTGGCCGAAGTAAGAATATATCTGTTGTCCTTAGATCATCATAAAATTATCTAGATGTTTTGAATGAGCTGGTTATTTTCCCTGTCCTGTTTGTCTGTGTAAAGTTCTATAAAAAGGATAATATCCCTATGAATTCATTCTTTTTTTGCTCATTGTAAAACATGTAAGCACACGACTTTTGGATTATTAGAATTGCTGTTGGTTAAATAACTCTGTTGTTTCAGAGGAGGTGGGAGGGAGGGAAGGAGAATTGCCTAATTCATTTTTTGGCCCAAAAGAGATTATATTGATTAAATCAATCATATTGATTAAATCAATCATATTGATTAAATCCAATTTCAACCACATGTGGCAACAGATATAAAGTTTTATTATATTTATACACATATTTTCTTTTTAGTGGTACTTTTCTTTGGTTTCTATAATAGATGCTGAAATGCTTTTGAAAAATTAAACATGAATTGTCCCATTTCTAAGGTTTTTGTTTCAACTGTGTTTAACTAAAAACTGAATTCAAAGGGACCTGCATTTTGGTGAGTTGTTATGAAAGCTCAGCTGTGCTAAGGACAGTGGTGGGTAACAAATTTAGAAATGAAAATTGAGGTATGGCAAAAGTACACCATAATCCATTGGAAGATGCTCCTCTGTTAACTAAAACCCTGTGACATTTCTTTGCAATCTTCAAATAAAGAAAGTATATATCCTGGTTCTCAAAAACACAAGGTATTTTTTTTAAAGACAACATAAATATTGTAGTTTAATTTTTATCGTTTCCTATCAGCACATTTAGTATATGTTAGTTTCTTTCCTACTGTTCATTTTTCTGGACCTAGTCCAAGTAATTTTTTGTATCATTACTATTCTTGAGTTAAACCAGAAAGTACTTTTAATGACATTAAAATTCAAACAAAATAACTGTAGATTAACAATAAAACATTCCAATGTGGATCAACAGGATTTTAGTCCTTGGGTGGCTAAAGAATTTGTTTGGCTTTTGGCTTAATCATTTTTAGTTTATCCCAAGATCAATAATGACTCTGTCAGATCTCATTATGTTATTATATCACAGCCAGATTTTGGTTGGGGCTCTTTTGGTTGTTCATAATATTCTTCCCCTCAAATGAAAAAAAAAAATCTCACCAGGATGCAATGCTCTTTTCTTTTCTTTTTTCCGTGTCTGTCTCCTTAGAGCTTTAGAGCCTTTCCTGACTGAATGGAGTCTCAGGAGATCTTAGTCAGGTGACAGTAAAATCATCTGAGTAGAATTCAATAAAGTTAAGCTACAGTATGAAAAATCCATATATTTAAAGGGAAATACAAGTGATATCTTCACACATTACTGAGCTTAGTAAAACTTTTACCAGCATCTCTGCTATGCTTTACTTACCTCTTAGAGATCATGAATGATCTCAAATTCTTAACAGCATCTATTTTATTTTAAAAAGGTATGTGGAGAAAAAAAAGCCTGGCAACTCCAATCATTTAACACTGGATGAAATGAATTTAGTATCTCAAAAGAGTCTATGTAATGTAATACATAGAACACTGCTCCTGGATTAAGAGACCAGGGTATAAATTCCTGAATTTATGCTTAATAGATGTGACCATAGACATATTACTTAAATCTTACAGGATGTCAGTTTCCTCATTTCTAAAATGGGGACAATAATACTTCTAATGTTTTCCTCAAAGGGTTGCTGTGAGGTTCAAATAAGTTCTTTGTACACGAAGTACTATAGAAATGTTAACAGTTATTATTTAACAAGAAGAGTTTTTTATTTATCTAAGCCATACAATTATTAATTTCTTGGAAAGAATGAACACTGTACAACACAGAACTAAAGTGTATCTTTAGTTATATGTACACAGCAGGTACCAAACTCCTTAGACAACTTCCATCGTTAACTAATTTCAATTAAAGAAATTATAACATTCCTTCAGAAGCGTCTAACCCAGGCTATGATTTAAACACATTGGCAGAATTCCTCTGAAATTCTTGAACAGCTTTCAAAGACAGATACTTCCAAGAAAACCTGTAGACCTTAAAGTGACTTGCATCTCAAGCCTGTCCTCCCACAGCTGAGGAAATTGAGGCCTAGTAGGTAAAATGACTTGCTTCAGGTCATTTAGTTGATTAGTATCAGAATCAAGAAAAGAGCACAGGTCTCCAAACATGTATTCTTAGCTATTCTTACTATACAATTTTGCCAGTGAATTAGACAAGACTAGAGGATTTTAACTTACAATTTTTTATATAGATTAAACAACATAGGATTATGTTCATGTTTCTTTTTTTGTAAGGGTGTGGAGAGATAGAAGCGTGGTAATGCTGATTAGTTTTGAGACTTAAAGTCTTAGCTGCCTGGTGGTATTGAAAGGTTAAGTTGCCCAGGGTCATGTAGCCAGTATGTATCAAAAATAAGACCTGAACCCAGGCCTACCCCATTCAGATGCCTGTTCCCAATCTGAAGAGTCACTACTTCGTAAATACACTTAATGAAATATTAGCTAATAAAGGCAATCATTTAAAATTATAGCATTTATTATAAAGATAATTACTGCTGTTTAAATCAAGATTTAGAGCATCTCATCAGGTTATTAGGGCAAAAATAGTGAAAAAAATATGATTTGATTATTTCCATCATTCTCACAAACTGAGGACTTTCATACAAGAGATATCTGTATGTTATCTGCAAGTTATCTTGAAGAGTCAGTGCTTTTTTTTTTTCACTACAAAGAATTTTTACCTCTAAATGATCTCTTCTGTGGGACTATGAGGCTTATGTGCCTGTTTATTTTTCATGTCTGTTCATTTCAGCATTTTAATAGATCTCCTTTCTCAACAGGTGTCTAAGCAGTTGTATAGCATGGGCTGCTATGAGATCTCTCTGGGGGACACAATTGGAGTGGGAACTCCTGGAAGTATGAAAAGAATGTTGGAAAGTGTTATGAAAGAAATCCCACTAAGTGCTCTTGCTGTTCACTGTCATGATACATATGGGCAAGCTTTAGCAAATATTCTTACAGCTTTGCAGGTAAATCTAATGCTTCCTTCCTTTCTCCCTCCCTCCCTCTCTGTTTCTCCTTTCCTTCCTTCCTTCCTTCTTTCCTCCCTTCCTTCCTTCCTTCCTACCTCCCTTCCTACTTTTCTTCCTTTCTTTCTCAGTCCCTACCTTCTTTCCTTCCTTTCTTCCTCCCTCCCTCCTTCTTTCCTTCCTTCCTTCCTTTCTTCCTTCTTTCCTTCCATCCTCCCTTCCTACTTTTCTTCCTTTCTTTCTTCCCCCTTCCTTCCTTCCTTCCTTTCTTCCTCCCTCCCTTCCTTCTTTCTTTCCTTCCTACCTTCCTTCCTCTCTGCCTCCTTCTCATCTTCCTTCCCACTTCTTTATGTTTCCCTTTATCTCTCTCTTCTCTCCTCCCTCTTCTTCTTTCTTTCCATGTTGAATTTTGCTTTTTAAGTAAAAATAAAATTTCAGAAGGTATATTGTATATATGTGATTACCATGAAGGAAAGGATAGATAAAAAACAATTATGATCATTTTAAATGTTTTTCTCTCATGACTAGAAGTAAATCATGTCAATTTGGGCAGTTAATAAAGAGATTATAGGTGTACAAGCTGTCATAGCAATGTACAGTAACACTGATTAATGGGCACACAGCCAAATGAAAACTCCAAGTTATTTGTATTCTGAGAGAGCTTACGTTGCCTGGAAAATGACAAAGAACAAAAATAAAAAAAAATCCTGCTTTCAAAAGCTACATTTGAAGACTTCAGACAAGTTTAACAGATTGTTAGGAGTCATTTGAAAGACTGTACATTTCATTGTATACATCAATGCAAGTGTAAGAACCTAAGCTTTGTGATTAAGCAAATACAGTTCAGTTTAAGTTTATTTATAATAATGGAATACCCAAACTTACTTTAATTATTAGGGGACAATGGGAAAGATTTTCTCAATCTATTCAGGTTTAGACATGCAAGTCTGAAATTTTCTCTTAACTACTATCAAGGGAGGAGATGAGGTATAAACAGGGACCAAAGACATTTAATGAAGGAGCAAAGGATGTTATTAAGGTAGGGCCTGATTCAAGCTATCACCGTATGAGTTTAGGTTCTTTATAGAATGAAATTGTTTTCAGGGATGATCTTTCAAAAGTTAGCAAAAGGAGGCTTACTTAGCCATAAGATAGAAAAGATATTTCATAAGGATGTTACAGCACTTAGCTCATGTGGATGTGGCCCTATTTACCTCCCTGTGGAAACATATCTGGCCAGCAGGGCAGAATGTGGTGACTCTCCTGCCATTAGGAAGATTATTGAATTTGAAGAACTCCAACTCCCTATGGGTGAGCATTTTTATTCCCTTAGGTGACCAGGAAATCATGTCAGCATGTCCAGAGTCTATGAAGTAGCTTAGTCAGTCAACAGAGATACAGTTCCAGGCCATTCAAGTCACACTGACAGCTTTGTCATCATTGAAAGGTAAATGGCCTAACTCATGTTGGGGAAGTGGGGAGAGCCCTGGTGGATATTGCTTTAATCATAGATGGGTAATGAAAGAAAAAGGTAAGAGATTTTTATCAGATCCTAGGAATAAGGATGCATTTTCCTCAAAACCATGGAACTGTCCTCCTTCAGTTTGGATATGTTGTATCCCAAACTCATTAAATCCAAAAAAGAACTTGTCTTTCACCCCAATCCTACCCTTTCTCTTTTTTCTATTGAGAACCACTGTTCTTCCAGTCATAGTTTTATACATTCACAATAATTTTCAGTTTGTCACTTTCCCTTGCATCATATATCTGATAACTTGCCAAGTTTTAATGATTCTGTCTTTATAATATCACTGTCATCAATACCCTTTTCTCTTTTTTCTTGGCCACCACCCTAATTCATATCTTCATAAGTTCTCACCTGGACTATTGCAATAATCTCTTAATTGGTCTTTATGCCTTAAGGCTCCCCAACCCCTTTCCAATACATCCTTCACACAAATACCAAGCTCAGGTCTGACCACATCATTCTCCTATTAAATAAAATCCAGGCACTCCCCATTGCCTTTAAAATCAAGTATAAATCCTTTGTTTGAAATTTATAGCCTTTAGAACCTGGCTGCAACCTATGTTTCTGGACTTGTTATTCATAATTGTCCTTCATGCAGTCTACAGACCAGTCAAAATGACTTTGCTTAGCATACACTAGATTGTATCTATCATCTCTGGTGTTTCTGCACTTGCATTTTCACAGTTTTACACTTTTTGCATTGAAGTCTTACATATCAAAGTGTGTATTGATCTAATTTGGGGGAAGATCCTTATCTTTTTTTTTAGAATTTTTATAATCTCTTCATCTTCTGCAACTGATGTTGGCATATAAACTGTAATTATTTTCCTTGTGGTCTTTGTGAGGAAAAAACAACAAAATTATGAATACTGCAATGTGAGATGACCAAATATTTCATAAAACAATGTTTTTGTAGCCTTTGGGTATGTAATAAAACCAACTCTGCCACTTTCTTTGTTTGATTCTCTATGGAGTAATTTTGAGCCATTTATTTTCTTTTATAGCAAGAATTCCAAGATTGATGTGATTTAGCAATTTGTCCAAGCATTGGTCATTGGACATGTATCTCACATTTAGAGACCCAAGAGTAAAATAAAAGTTTATAGATATTATAAAACAGAAGTTCTTAACATGGTTAATATGAGGTCTGTGAATTTTTAAAAAACGATGACTGTATTTTAATATGATTGGTCTCCTTTGTATTCCAATATATTTTATTTTATGCACTTAAAAACATTCTGAGAAGGGATGTGAAGACATCACCAGACTACCAAAGGGACCCATATCACAAAAAAGTTTAAAAACTCTAATCAAAAAACTGTGATTCTTAACACCCTCTTCACCCCTCCCCCTACCTTGTTTTCACCACTTTGCCATTGTCACTGCAGAATCTGAGATTGCTGCACAAGACTTAGAGTCATTTTTCCTTTTAGTTTGTTTCGTGGGTTGGTATGACCAATGAATTCATCACCAACTTACCAACCTACAAGTAATGAACGAGTCTCTCTCTATTTAATTAGGCTGGTCCTTTTTGAGGTATGAGAGACTTTCTGTTTCCAGGATCAAATTCATACCCATATGTCAAAATCATTCAAGATTTTTTGAAAGATATACCAACAGAAAGAACCCTGCTCATCATCCCTCTGATCAAAAATATGTAAGGCACAAAATTAGGAGATATACGATCACCAATGGTGTTTGTTACTTTAATAGAGGAAAACTAATGCAGAGGTCAAGTTGAAAGGATTTCTTGTATGTGGTGAGGTGCTTAATATTCCTGTTTGCAGGAAATGATGTTGATTATGGTGATGATAGCATTTGTATAACACATTAAGGTTTACAAATTACTTTATTTTATAAATATATTATAAATTCAAATTTACAATATTATTTTATCCTTGCAACAATCCTAGAAAACAGGTGTTATTATTACCCCCATTTTACAAATGAGAAAACTGAGTCAGCCTAAGCTTAAGTGAGTTATCCAAGATAATTTAGCTAGTAAGTGTCTAAGAGAGAACTTGAATTCAATTCTTCCTAGCTCTGTTATTCTATCCATAGGCCACCTAGATGTCTTTGCCAACTAATACTTTTCTGGCTTCATCGAGTCAAGGCAAGTTAACAAATATTTATTAAATGCCTGCTATATACCAGACACTGTGCTAAGCATTTAGGACATCAAGTTCTGGAACATTTCAGATATTCCTGGAAGAAATTCATATGCATAGAATAACCTTACTGACCACTGATAAAAAGAGAGACTAAATGAATAAAGAATGTTTCTTCCTCAGATTCTTACATGCATTTAAATTCACAAATAATAGAGCTTGTTCATCAATATGTATATCTGTATATATAACGAGTTAGAACCATAGTTGGACAGGAGGATAAGATTGGGATCTATTGCCTTTAAGATATTGTGAAGATAATTTAACAAACCCACATTTTTTCTAGAAATAAAGGTTAATTTTTTTTTGATACCAACAAATTACTGGTGTTGCAATATGGCAATGAAATATTTCAAATAAAACAGTCTCCAGCATTTGAAATAAATGTCATACAAAGTACAATGAAGATGCATGTTGTAGGTACAGTTATCAGCTGAAATATATAGCCAATGCAGGACTTTGAAGAAAAAAAAGAGAATAAAAGATATCATTGAGGAAATATATGATAGGAAGAGAAAACTGATTGATTATGTGACAAAGGTGAGAGATGAAAGGTAGATAGTCGTAATACCCCACTGATATCTTCATAATTTTTGAAGGATGAAATTAGAACTTCCAGTATGTTGGACGGACTCCCTGTAAAACTAACGGGAGGAGTCCTGAGCACAGTGTTGATTGCCTGTAGTCCCAGCTACTGGGAGGCTCAGGCCAACATATCTCCTGAGCCTGGGAATTCTGAACTGGAGTAGAATAAGGTAATCAGGCATCTACATTAAGTCCAGCATGAGTTCGTTGAGTCCCTGCAAATGAGGCTGCCAGGGTGTCTAAGGAGAGAAGAGTTGGAAACGATCAGGGCAAAACTCTCTGTTGTTCAACTGTAGGATCATGCCTATGAATCCACCCTGCACTTTAAGTCTGGTAGTCGAGACCAACCCAGTCTTCGAAGACAAATAAAACTCCTCAGAGAGACTATGAAATTTTTGAGCACGGGAACTGTTAAATTGCTGTCTTCATAACTGTAGCACTTAGCCTAGTGCCTGGCACCTACTGGGCACTTAGTAAATGTTTGACATTGACATATAGAGATATAAAATCTATTCCAATTTCACATCCAATGAAGAAATCGCACATACAGTGTCCTGGAGTTAGGAAGAACTGACTTTGAATTTGCCTTTATATACATAATAACTCTTCTGACCTATACTTAATAGCTCACTTAACTGCTCTCAGACTTAATTTCCTAATCTGCAAAAGAAGAATAGCCATCTACCTCACAGTGTAGTAATGAGACTCAAATGAGATAA